CCCCCCCCCCCCCCCCCCTCCTTGTGGGTGTCCCCCCCCCCCCCCCCCCCCCCCCAGTACCAGTGATCTATTATGCTAATCGATCGGTGTGTTTTTTGATTGACTGTTGTCGGTTTTCTCTGTTTGTTTGTTTCAATGGCGACTGAACCTGAAAAGATGTAAAATAGATACTTAAAAAAAAAAAGGCTTCAGTCCCGTCGCTGTTCACATCGAGACCATCGAACCCCCGAAACCTTCACCTCATAACCACGAAAACAACGATGTTACACGAGAAAAAAAATCCTGATCGAACAGGAAACCTGTGACAATAAATTCCTGTGTGTGTGTGTGAGTGTGTGCGCGTGTGTGTGAGTATTTATTTTGGAGTGATGTCAACATCTTCCTGCTCTCACCTCGATCTGAACTCACTATTTAAACTGGCCAATCAGAACCCTCACACGGCACCGATTGCTAGAATAACGCCATCCCTGAGTGCTAGCATACAGTTAGCTTGTGGCTAGCAGACACCGAGCACATGGCTAGCATAAGGTTTACACACAGCACAAGGCTAATACTAGCTATGGTTACCAGCTAGCAAACATAACTTCACCATTTGGTAAATATATGGTTAGCACACAACTAACGCAAGGCTAGCCGACATATGGCCAACATACCTAGATGTTAGCACACACCAACCCATGGCCAACACCTGGCTAACCAAGCCAGTGTTTGGTTAGCACACACCTAGCACAAGGCTAACATAGGGCTAACATCTGGTAAACAGCCTGTATTTGGGTAGTGCACAGCTAAAACAAGGCTACCACATGGCTAACACATGGTAAACATAACCAATAATTGATTAGCTCACGGCTAACACAGCTAGCTGGTTCAGTTAGCACATGGTTAGCATTCACCATTTTATGGCTAACATTACATTAAAGTCCTGTTGGTAGTGGTAACTGGCTGGTAGCTCTGCCAGGTGGTTTTAGCACTGTTAGCATTTTAGTGCTCAGCAGATACAAACTGTTCCACCAATAGAAAAAGAGACACAGGGCTGAGGGGCGTGGCTTCAAGACGGTTCGACGTGAGATCTAAAGCCATACACACTGTGCATGTGTGTGTGTGTGTGTACGGAGGACTAAAGCTGATTTATAATAAATAAATAAGTGACACGATAAGTAAAAGATATAGGGAAATACATTTTTTTTAATAAATACGAAAATAATTATATATGAAAATGAATTAATATAAATAATTAATTTGTTTAAAATAAAGGAATACATTTTATTTATTTTTCTATTTTAGTGCATATTTTTATTTAAAAATTAACCTGCAGATTTATTTGACCTGCGTTTTTATTTCTACATTTCTTTAATGTATTTATACAAAAGTAATTTATTTATTTATTATGCCAGCTTTGGCCCTTGTGTGTGTGTGTTTGAGTGTGTGTATATAACATTGCAGGGATTTGCACTCTAGTGATTCACCTCAGCAAGACATCCGCCCACACACACGTACAGTACACACATGCACGCACACACACATGCATTGCACTGCCATTTGAAATAGTGGGTCAGATTAGTTTCCATGTAGCTTCACCAACCAACCAAACTGTATTTTCTTTAAAGGAACAGGGATGTTGTAAAGTATTTTTGTACAAATTTAATACTTTGGTAGCATGACGTTCCTGGTGTTTGTCCTGTCGGGCTCCACTGCTCTCCTCCACCCCCCTTTATATGGACGACTACTGAGCAACAATAAAGATGAAGACCTGCTGGGAGAACTCGACTCCATGTTTGTTTGTTTAAATAAAAAGGTTAATTTAATTATTCATCATTTTACAGCATGGTGTTTCACGATGAAGTATTATTTGTAGCCACTTCACACAACATATATGCAAATATTTCAATTAGAATATAACAAAATACTGGTACTTGCATACAAATCATTATCTACATTAGAGAGACTTTAGTTTACAAACAGCGAATTCTATATTATTTTTATAATTTCAAAACTTAATTAAGAGTTAAATAATAATATCAAAAGCAATTTAGACAACACCAATACAACTAAATTAGACATACAAAATCCTGGTTATTAGAACATATAAAGCTGCCATTATAATAAATACATGAATGAATGTACAGGTTGATTTCAAAATAAATAATTATGCACGTAAATACAAAAATAAATACAAAATTCTGTATTTATTTTTTACCAAAATAATTATTAATTTATTTTCACGTTTAAGTATTCCCATTGTATTCTCTTCTGTTATTTGTATTTACTTATATAATTATGTATTTATTGAGTAATTTATTTTATTTTATTTGCGGATTCTGTTAATATATTCAAAACAGCATTCATCTTTCAGAATGTTAAAACATGATTGGCACAATTAGTTGTAATTTCTTCATTAACAATTATGTAAATATAAGCTATAAGAATTTTGTAATATTTAGCTAAAGTAAAGCTTTAATTTCTGTAAATCGGATGTGACGTTCCCGCTCGGCGCTCTCTCTCCCGGCCTGCTCGGTGACTCTGCGGTGGATTAGTTCGATCTGTTCTCCGGTGTGTTGACGCTGTTTCTCCGTTAGCATCGCCGCTGTTCCTCCGTTCTATCTCCAGCTAACCGGTGGAAACGTTAACCAACGTGTCTCCTGGATAAATAACCACCGAGCCGAACATGTCCACCGCGCTGGAGAGCTACATCAACCGTATCCTGCTGCTAGCTGGCTAACATGCTAGCATGCTAGCATGCTAACCTCCCGTCTGAATGAATGCATTGAAGATAGTTAGCTTAGCGTATAAGCTAGGAGGGATCTGTCTTTAGTTGTTTATCAAACGTACAGTGACGCAGTTTCTCTATTTTTAATAGTTAGCAGTGCAGTTAGTAAACGTTTATTATTATTATATATATATTATATCATATCATATTATATATATATGTATATTATATTATTCCCAGTTTAATTAATGTTTTGTCCAGAAGTGTTTCTTTAACTCTGTGATTCAGGTACTGTGGCCATCGTCACTTCAGACGGCAGAATGATTGTGGTGAGTTTAAATACCTGTTAAAGTACCTTTGTTCAGTAGTAAAATGTAAGTAACTACATGTACTTTAGTCAAAGTACTGATATCACACTGTGAAAATACTCTATTACAATTAAACGTCCTGTATTCAAACCCTTGATGTACAAGTATTTATTGATCAGTAAAGTGTTATCTGATGTTTCTGCTGCATTAATGTGTATGTTGCATATTTATATATATAAACATATTATAAACATACATTACTGTTGAGTGAAGCATTGAACAGTTTCTAGAATGAACTTTCATCTTGTGTTGTTTTTGTCGCCCCCTGTGGACTGAAGTGGTAGTGTCTCTGAGCACCAGACTCCCTTTAGAAAACCTCTAATTTTACTGCAGCAGGTCTGACAGTCTGCCCCTCTCAGTCCTGGTTCTGGTTCTCCCTTCCCTCCAGCGGGTCCAGCATTACGTCCTGGGTCTCCAGCAGCGTGGTGTCGGTGTTGCTGTAAACTTTGATATGTGTGTGTGTTCAGGGCACGCTGAAGGGTTTCGATCAAACCATCAACCTGATCCTGGATGAGAGCCACGAGCGGGTGTTCAGCTCCAGTCAGGGCGTGGAGCAGGTGGTGCTGGGACTCTACATCGTCAGAGGAGACAACGTGTGAGTCACCGTCACCTAATAATCAACGTATTATTATTACGTCATAACAGAAAGAACAGCGGCAGAAAACTTCACTACTTTAATACATTCTCTTTATTTTGAATACATTAACGTTGTTACTTAAAGATATTAGAGATGAGTTTTGAGCTGTTTAACTTAAAAACACTAATATATGATACATTAAAACTACTAATGACAAGATTTAATCATAATTTAATTCCGTATCATTTGAAATGTATATTTCATGCAAATGAGCTCTATCGACGACAATAACAAAGTAACCAGAAAACATTTAGAGTTGTTGACGGTTTACATTTGCGTTAGAGCGGTTGAAATAGTTGCGTCTGTACTTAGTTTGTAGAATAGTTTTCATAAAGTAACTTTTTGTTTGTTTGTTTTCAGGGCCGTGATCGGAGAGATCGACGAGGAGACGGACTCCACTCTGGATTTAGGAAACATCAGAGCCGAGCCGCTCAACTCTGTCGCCCACTGACCTCTGACCCCCCCCCAGGAGTCTGTTTACTGATGCAGGTTTGCTGAGTCATCTGGATCAGCTAAGCCCTCCCTGAAATCTGATGTGTAATTAGACTATAAATTACCCAGAAACCTCAGTAAACCTTCTGCCGCTAACAGACTCCTGCGCTGACATTTTTCTGTTTGTATTTTTTTATAAATAAAGATTTGCTAGACTTGTTAGAATAACTTTTTTATGCTACGAGTGAGTTTTTGTCAGATTGCGATTTGTTTAAATAAAGTTTAAAATCTAATATTGTGACAGAACATCTTTCTTTGTTTACCGTGGAGGTAGAAGTACTCGGGCCTTCACTTAAATATCAGTAGAAATACCACAGTGTAGAAATGTTATATTATATATAAAGTTACAGAAGTATCAAAATATACAAAATGTAGTATGTATAGTGTAGTGATGGGCAAAATGCCGAACTGGAGGCTCATATACTCAAATATATACTCAAGTATTGTACTTACTTTGCAGATTCTGGTATTTAATACAAAATATAAAAAACGATAATTGATGTACTTTATAGATTAAACTACAAGCAGCTTTTAAAGTTATTTATTAAATTAAAATCAGCTCAACCTTCAACACATTAATGCATCAATGATTATAATACAATATGATATATATATATTCTGAAGCGGGTCATGATTCTGCAGGAGCACATCGCTCGCTGATACGTTGCACTTTTATTGAAGTAGAGTTTAGAAGTCAGGACTTGAACTTGATGAATAAAAGTATTAAACGGTGTCACTGAGGCAGCAGCACTTCTTCCACTAGAGTCCGTGTTTGTGTGGTGTCACGTGTTCCCAGAGTCAGAGCGCTCTGCAGTCCATGGATCTGGTCTGGACTCGGAGCCGGATCCTCATAATGGAGCCGCAGCCAGGAGTCACCTGAAAATACACCAAATACACACAAAATACACTAAATACACACCATCAAGAGTTTAACAATCCTGGAACTCATCATCATCATCATCATCATCGTCAACCTCTCACCTTTCCTGACCCTCTGACCCAGCGACACCAGTAGCTCCACCCCTACGCTGTGATTGACAGGTCCTCCGGCTTTCGATCGTCCCGCCCCCAATTTATGAAGAACTTCCGCTAACGTCAAACCTCCGACATCCACGACGACACCTGCAGGATGTCCCACAGGACAAGAGGAACAACCTCAACCTGTGATTCACATCAGCTGCATTCATGTTGATCAATATTAATCACCTGAATAATCTAGTTTTTAGGATTATTTCATTATCACTAAGATTTATAGAAGATGTAACGATTGAAAACGTCTAGATGAAGCTTTATAACTTTTTATTATATGTTTTATGAATAAAGAATAGCTGGTAAGTAAATATATAAATACATAGGTAAGTAAAAATAGTACATATGTGAGTAAAAGTATATATTAGTAAATATATAAATACGTAAGTGAGTAAAAATGTAAACAAGTAAGTATATATGTGCACAAGTAAGTAAATATACAAGCACGTAAGTAAGTACAAGTATGTGTTAGTAAAGATATAAGTCGGTAAGTACATAAGTACGTAACTTAGTAAAAGTGTAAGTAGCTAATGATATAAGTATGTTAGTAAGTGAAGTATGTAACCTAAGTAAAAATATATGTTAGTACTCAAGTTAAGATATAAGTAAGTAATTAAAAAGACTACTGTTGAAGACATACAATCTGTGTGCCCTTCAGAATAAAAGCTCTTCAATATATAAAGAAGGGTGGGAAAAGTTTTGTGTATTTCTTGTGTATTTATTTGTGTATTTATTTGTGTATTTCTTGTGTATTTCTTGTGTATTTATTTGTGTATTTATTTGTGTATTTCTTGTGTATTTGTGTATTTCTTTGTGTATTTCTTTGTGTATTTCTTTGTGTATTTCTT